GGGAAACAAATTAAGTTTATTAAATAAAAAAGTCACTTCAACCATTATTGGCGAACTACCTTGCTCGCAAGAGGTCCAGTCTTTCATCAAAGGACGTTTGGTTTTTATTCTGAGAGGTCATGGGAGCGGCTAAGTGATGCTAGGGTTGACTTTTTGCCGTCTCTTACCCAATGAAATACCACTATGTAGTACGCACGCTGCCGAGCAGGCGGCGCGCGCGAGTACTCCGGACGGGTCCAGGATTCCCCCCACTCCAGAGGGGGGCTTTTTATCGGGATAGCATGTCGTCGCTCCAGCTGCTCACTCAGCAGGTCATTAGTTTGAACTGACCTTAGCACGCGAAAAATGCACGGATGAAGCCCACGCTGTGGTCGAGCGGCAGAGGTCGATGTAACCCAACGAATGGGAGGGGATTATTATTCTTTACACCTGCACCATTCCTCTTGCGAGGGGCTTCTGATTCAACTATAGGTAGGCGTAGGTATCTCTTGTCGCTACGTAGCTGGAAGCTCGGGGAAGCGAACAAATATGCCTCCTCCCCGACACTTCATTCTTGTGGCCGAAGGTTCCATGACCTCGGCTTATTGAACGTTTGCTTTATTTTCTGCAGTGAAAGAGAGAAAGAAAGAAGGAGGAGAAAGAGACACTATATATTAATGTGATATTCAATTATGAAATTGCTGAGTTAAACATTAACACAAAACGGTTTAATTCGTACCTAATTAAATCTGATTACCGGTTGATGGGAAGAGCATGAAATGGGTTACCTAAATATGTGAAGGAGTCCGTGAGCTGAACAGGAACTTGACCCTGCTTGATGCTTCTGATTGCATTTGCATCATCCCATCATCTCTTTGCCTTTCACCTACCCAGTGACGATTCCTGAAGTCGACCATGCTGGTCATGGCTCCAAAACCTTCACGACGTCCTTGGAAAATAATAATTTCTAAAGAGACATTTATGGCGGCCATTAGACCGGCCGTGTGTGCCCTCGCCTGTGCCCTATAGCTTTACAGCTGTGGGAAGGAAACCCCCGAGCGTCCTCTGCCCCAGAAATGCCGACTCACACTCGCCCCCATGAGGCAACCCGTTGAGTCCAACGAAACCGAAAGTGAAAACGGCAGCGATTTGGCTCGAGCCTCGCCACGGCCGGTGCCACCGGACGGCAGATGACAGCTATCCGCGGCACGAGATGCAGCAGCGTGCCTGCCTCAAGGTTCCACCGACCGCTCCTCAAATGATCCACCCACCTACCGCTCTTCACGATCTGTTGGAACCCTCCCTAGCTCAGCATCTCGCAGGGAGAGCACGCCAGTTGGCTCATGTGTGACGATATAGGCGAACTGCGAACTGCCAAGTCTCAATTACTGATGAAAGTGATGACATGGAACAGGGCGCTACGTATCTCCCTGCGTACCTGCACTGCCGTCGCAGTTGGCACTCTCTTTTCCTCCTGGTGATAACATCTCCCCCGACAGAGCTAATTACCTCGCTCCGGGCAGACTTGCACACCGCAGAGGGCTGCACGACTAGGAGAGGGGAGCGGGAGGGGCTCCCGGTCCGCCCCTTCCCTTCACACCTCGTCAGGATGTGTTACGGGCCGGCCTCGTCACGGTTGAGTGCCGCAATGGCGCCGTGAAGCTTAATGTTTATTTTGAGTTGCATTGTGGCCTACCTAATCAGTTACCTGTCTGTGACCTAATCCACTTGTCATCGTTCGATAATAAGAATCACAGGATACGTGTTTGAATAGCATTTCAAGTAAAATCTGAGCTCTAGGCGCTAGGGAATGAATTAAATAAAAGCAAAAATCCTTTGGTCTTGAAAATAAGGCTCATTTGCATTAGGACCATTTTGGGACCGTGGATAGAGTGGATAAGGGGCTCGATTTTCAAACAAATGACAATTCAACCCGGACCGGATGGACATGTTTCTATTGTAAATATCCTCCCCATTTGAACATACTCACAATTTGTTTATGTATAGCCCATGGGTGGGTTGAACACCTGAAACACGGAAGCATGTATATGAAGAATGTTGATACCTAGCGTAGATCCTGAGGACGAAATGGACGGATGAGCTTCACAAAAATTAAAGTAGCAAGAAAACTTCAGGGTGGTGCAATACTCGCAATCCGGACCCATTCCTCCACGTCCCCATGCTCCGCTGTCGCTCCAGAGCCTTTCCTGAATCCACACCAGCTGTCCACACCGCCCTTGTCGAGTTGAGCCGCTGGCGACTGTGGCGAGCCCCTCCACTGGGAGAACCCCCGGGAGAAGGGTGCGGTTCCTTGCCACCGAACTGTCTCACGGACTGCTCACACGCCTCGGTGGCTGTGTTCCGGATTGCGCAGTGTTCTGCCGCCCCTCGCCACAGAGGTGGGGAGAGGAAAGAGAGGTGCTGGGGAGAGGAGCGACCAGTGCCGCGCCCAGGCATGGGCCCGCCCGCCAAACGGAGCACACGTTACCCAACAGAGCGCCGGCGGGCGCGCAGGGGCGAGGAAGCCGCCCGATAGACATCTCTGGTAGTGTCTCTCTCTCTCTCTCTCCCTCTCTCTCTCTCTCTCTCTCTCTCTCTCTCTCTCTCTCTCTCTCTCTCTCTCTCTCTCTCTCTCTCATAAATGTAAACGCCTAACAGGAAATACCCGAACAATTGCAGTGTTCCGTGTTAGACTGATGGCACCCGACCCAGAGGAATGGACTTTCCTGAGTAGGGACTTGGCAGGGTGGTCTCCATTATTGGGTGAAACATTAGTCACAACTGATTGCGTTCCACCTGTTATACGACAAACAGAGACGAGAGCTAGGGAGAGAAAGAAAGAAAGAGAAAGAAACAGAGAGAAAGAGAGAGAAGAAAGAGAGAGAGAGATAGAGAGAGAGAGATAGAGAGAGAGAGATAGAGAGAGAGGGAGAGAGAGAGAGAGAGAGAGAGAGAGAGAGAGAGAGAGAGAGAGAGAGAGAGAGAGAGAGAGAGAGAGAGAGAGAGAAATGAGAAAGAGCTGGTGAGGCGTGTTTTGTCGATTTTAATCATCCTGATAATACAGAGCGTCCGTTTGTCTCAGAGCCTGACGACATAATAACCGTTGTCTTTATCGGCTGCGGCTGTAACTACCGTCGAGGCTGGCCGCCGACCGCAGCAGGCTGGTGGATATGATCAGAAGATGAGGCAGCCCGCAGAGTAGCGGTTGACCGGTGATTTGTGATAATTGGAGAGGTCAAGAAGCCGGTTAATCACACAATCATATGCTGGTGTAGACGATTCGAAGGAGTGGAAGGTGGTGATAGAAAGCGACGCATCTGCATCCCTAAGTTAGAAGTTATTGAATGTCCATTGTCCTTGAGCGTAATCGTTTAAAGTTGACCTGAGTGTCACCACTTTTGACGCTGGAGGTCAACTGCATTATGCAAATGCATTGCGCAATTAATGCGGAAAATTGAAACCAGTTGCCCATGAGATTAAGGAGAATCAATTGATGCACCATAAACATGCATCAAAACCATCACCGCCACTACCGCTGCAGAACTAATTTACGAGTGAAGCGTAGGTACGGCCCTCCAGCAAAAGAGTGGTTGGTTAGCCTATGTGCTTTTGGTGTAATAACTCTGAATGACAGAGACACTCCTGTAAAATGAGTCAATAGAAATGAGAAGAGGGTTCGTGCACACACTTAGGCAATAGTTTTCAACAGCCATTAGACGCATTCATCAATGCAGCTCGCATTGTGATGTTGGCAACCAACCACTAAATACCTGGAGGGCCGTACCCGTCAATGCTGCTTTATATCTGTTACGGGCCAAGTGCGAAGGCTAGTCCGTTTGCGAACGGACTAGTCCATTCGCGAATGGACTAGGCCGTTTGCGAATGGCGGTCCGTTTGCAAACGGACTAGTCCGTTTGCGAATGGCCGGCCATTCGCGAATGGCCTAGGCCGTTTGCGAACGGACGGGTTTGTGGCGTTGCACTTAGCCGCCGGAAGCATGGATCCTCGGATTGGGGTACGATTCCGAATGAATGGGGGACCGCTGGTCGATGCAGGGGCGTCGCCGACGGGGGGGGGGGGGTCGGAGGGGTCCGGACCCCCCCCCCCCACACACACACACATTCTTGAAAATATGCCGATCCGACGCCCCCCCCTCACCCCACACACACTTTTGGCCACGAAAATCGATCAAGAATAAAATAAAATATTTTAAAAACGATTTTGGTGCATTCTCAAAATAAAATTGTCTAAATCCGAGTTTTCAGTATTTGGTGGGGATTACTTTGACTGACCGTCCGACCAGATCCCCTAGTCGAAAATCCGTGGCGACGCCACTGCGTCTATATGTTTAGTTTGTTCTCCGGAGCAGATCTGCGAGCTGGCGCAACTCTGGGTTAAGGTCTCCACACACCTGGTCCATTCGGGATGCGACTTTTCGCTGAACCCTGCACAACGCGGAAATTATAGCAACGTGTTGCCGCTGGCCAGGCTTCGGCCACCGATCTGGATCTGGGGAGGTCAAATATCCCCGTGACCTTCGAACAGCGGAGAGTCGCGTGGTGTGCGGAGACCATTAGTACCGTGCTACGGGCTCCCCGCTGATGACCCGACCTGACCTTGGTCGAGTTTGTGGCGCTCGATTCATTCTGCTCTGGTGCGGTGTACCGGGACGGTGCGGTTTTTTCACGCATCGCTTTCACGCTTTTGCACGCATCATTTCACACGGGACTTTGCACATGCCAAGTTGACTTGCCAAGTTGACGTCACTTTGCTGGATATTTCGCACTTGGCCTGACTTCGCACTTGGACTGGGAGCATAAACGCCCGTCCATTCGCAAACGGCCTAGGCCAACTGCAATAACGCACATGGACTAGTCCATTCGCAAACGGCCTAGTCCAAGTGCGTTATCGCACTTGGACTAGGCCATTCGCGAATGGACTAGCCTTCGCACTTGGCCCGCAACATATCGATAATGGAAAACAATAGGGCTGAATAACATGTAAAATATAAACCAAAGAGATGATAAAAAGACAATAAATGAATTCGCAATGCGACCATCATAGAGAAATTACAAGAAACAGATGGTAGACAATCGGAGATAACGTAAAACGAAAACGAAGATCGCTTTCTCGCACAAGCCACAGAACGGCAATCCACACATTATCGAGCTCTAGATCAGATCGGTCAGCTAGTTGGAAGATCAGACCAGTCCCCGACAGCTTCTGTTTCCCTCTCCACTCCTTTGTGACGATCGAGCCGCGCTCATCAGGAGCGGTCCTCCGTTACAGGTTTGTGACCGCCCCGTCACTCGGCGTCACTTTTCGTGACGCGCGCAGCTCGACCGTCACCGTCTCCTACCCCGGTGCTGCGACCACGCCATCCTCAACAGCGGGCCGCCGCACCGGTCTCTCTAACCTCAGCAGCCGGTCGACTTGCTGTTGGCACCGGACGCCTTGGTGATGAACATGAATGTGAACTGCTCGGCCACGGTCGGATGTATGCCGACCGAGGCGTCCAGGTCTGCCTTAGTGGCACCCAGGCGCAGGGCCACGGCGAACCCCTGGGTCACCTCGCCGGCGTGCGGAGCCACCAGGTGGAAGCCCACCACGCGCTGACGCTGGCTCTTGACGCAGATCAGCTTCCCGTAGGAGGCGTTCTCGTCCCGCTGCGGCACGGTCAGCTCGAGCGGCGTGAAGTACTGGTGGAACACCTCGATGTCGTGCTCGCCGTAGCGCTCGACGGCCGCCTCCTCGGAGAGGCCGACGCAGCCGTACTCGGCGGGCGTGAAGACCGTGGTGGGGATGTACTGGTAGTCGGTCAGAGCCGTGGCGCCCGTCACCAGGCGCTGGGGACACGACACATTGTGTCGACTCACACACGAGGAAAGCAATGCACAAACGATGACGGCGACTACATTATCAATTTATGGATATAATTATCTTTATTTTCTAAGTACAAAGGGGCTAGATAACATGATGAGAGAATAAAAAATGTTTTTATATGATGGTAGCGTTATAGAAATGAATGACGTATTGACAGGGTGAGTGCAGGATATTGGCCGATTCGTTAGCACGAATTTACGCCGTCTTACCCTGGCCAGCTGTCGGCCCGCCTGGATGGCCACAGGGGTCAGCTCGGGGTGGCCGCTCAGGATGTCGCCCACAGCATACACGTGCTCCACGGACGTCTGCTCGGCCTCGTTACACATCACCTTGCCGTCTTTGGGCGAGAGTCGGACGCCGATCTTCTCCAGACCTATCCCGGCGGTGCAGGCGCGGCGACCAGTGGCGAACAGCACCGTGTCGTATTCGGCCACCAGGGTCGTCCCGTCCTCCATCTGCGCCGTCACGCGGATCGACGGACGGGTCTCGGCGGCGTCGGCTTCTTCCTCTTCGTCGGGCTCGACGCGCTCGAGGCGCGTGGGCACGCATGGGCGCAGGAAGCGCACGCCGCGTTGCGCCAGGTGCTCGCCGACCAGCTCGGCCATCTGCTGGTCGAAGCCGCGAAGGAGGATGGAGCGCACCATCACCGTGACCGGCAGGCCGAGGCCGCGGAGGAAGCCGGCGCACTCGAGCGCAATGTAGCTGGCGCCGACCACCAGCGTGCGGCCGGGGCTGCGCGGCAGTGAGAAGAGGTCGTCACTGCTGATACCGAGCTCGGCGCCCGGGATGTCGGGTATCCTCGGTCGGCCCCCCATGGCCAGGACGACGTTTCTAGCAGAGATGAGACGTTCGCGACCCTTCTTGTCCACAGTGCGGAGTGTGTGCGCGTCCACAAACTCAGCGTAAGCGTTCATGTAGGTGACATGTCTCTCTCGCAACTGCACGCGGTACCCCCAGTTGAGGGACGAGATGTGTCCCTGGATTCCCTTCACCATCTTCTCCCAGGAATGTTGAGGAGACTCCGTCACCGACCAGCCGAACTTGGACGCGTCACTGCAGGCCTCTCCAAGCAGACTAGTCTGGTGCATCAACTTCTTGGGGATGCAGCCCACGTTGACGCACGTTCCCCCCAGGCCCCAAGTGGTCCCTTTGGGTGACGGCTTGACGAAGTCACAGATGACGACCCTAGCACCGAGTCGCGCCGCCTCCTTGCTGCAGGCCAGCCCTCCAGAGCCGCCGCCGATCACTGCCAGGTCATAGTCGTATTGTGCGTCCCCGGATCCCGCGTTCAACATCGCCTGCAGGGTGCCGTCAGCGTGCGCTTCGACCGTCTTGTCGCAGCCTCCCAAGTGTCTGCCGTTGATAAACACGTTGGGTACCGACTTCTGACCAGTTCTCTCGAAGAGGATGGTCTGGACGGCAGGTCCATTATCGATCAGATCCAATTCCAGGGCTGAGTATGGGATCCTGTGGGTGCGTAACAGATCCTTTACTTGCTCACAAAACGGACAGTATGATTTGCTGAACACTGCTACCCGATTTTCCTTCAGAAACTTATTTGTTTCATCTTCAGGACTAACAGAAACGGGTGGCGTTGGCATCGTGAACCGTTTCACTTCTGTTAGAATTAAGTAGACAAACTTATTGTTTCGGAATGAATATTAAACAGTCGGAATGAATAAGTCAACCGGGACATTTTTTGGACATTTTTTAATTCCTAAGAAATAAGCAAATGAATTTTACTGCGCTATAAATTTTGCACTTCAATGAAAATTGGCGATTTAAATTTGCCTCGTAATGCCTCGTATTTCAAACTCTGGCGCAGTTTAATTCAATACCTGCTCGAGATCTTCCATGCCGCTGATACTTATTCCGAGATTGGAGTCACATGGCGTTACCTCATGCACCAATGCGTTCCTCGCCTGAAAGAGACAATTCTTCGACAGACTTCATTGACAGTTGTCTCTTACGTCTCCATTCTTATGGCTACACACGAAAGCACAGAAGCTTAGGCATATGCTTAGGATAGCAAGCTAGAAAGTTACATCAAGTACATAGACGGCTCAGATAGAGTAAATCCAATTTAACAAATACTTCATCAGATTCCCTGAATTCCAACAACTCATTTAGAGAAATAGCCCTTCAGCCACGCGGTGAGTGCGGCGGGCGGGACGGGCCGTGGCCGTGCCGCTAGAGCTGCGTATCATTGCCGGGGGTAGACGGGCCCGGTAGGTACTAAGTGCTTCGACCACCTGCCTGCCGACCTACCGTGTTCAGTGGACTGTGGATGGGTGTCTGCCGGTCCGTAACATCACCTGGTGAGTGGTGACGTCACAGTGTTATCAAACGTCAATTTCCCACTGGCTTGAAATGACGCGTCACCGGGAAGTTTACATACACGTACGTTTCAATACTGTCGGACAGGCTGATTGGTCTCTAGATTCGTATCGACATTGACAGCGGCAATATGTCCCCAAAACGCTACTTACCGTTCCTCTATTATGAACTTCAGAACGAAAATGGGATGTGCACAGAATGGTTTGGTATTTGGTAAGTCCTATGTACCCAGAGCTATTAAAAAGCTTATCACACACGCACGATCATTGTTCAGGGATTGATTGAATTATCTGTTCTGATGATGAGTTGCTGTGACAGCCCAGGGCGCACCACCAACTGTTCCCTCTGCCGTTCTCTAGCAAAGAAAAGAAAGAAAAGGAAAAATAAAATAGGGAAGGTGCGAGAAAGCGAATGACGGTATCGGGTGTATGTAGGTCAAAAGGTATGTGTTATAAGTATCCCAATAATCATCGGTCGTATACAAAGCAAGAACATGAGAATAAGTAGGTACCCAATGCCCCAGCAACAAAAGCTTCTTCATTTGATGAATAATAAATTCGATTCATGTTTTTTTTTATCGTAACATGCAGGCATCTAATCAGCATACCCGTGACGAAACTTTCTGCAAAAGTGGAAACTAAAATGATGAATTGTGGACAGGCGCCGCACGCAATGCAAATATTTCAGTTGCCGCGCTGTTGCGGTACACACGATTTCAGTTGCAACCTCTCTCCTCAGTCTTCAATCTTATCGGTTATCATTGGTCATATTGGTCAGTCAGATATTGCGAAAGTACAGCTTACAAACAGTTCGCATACCGTCAACTGTGTCAAGATCTAATTTACATTTCAAAGCGCTCTGGGCCGGGTCGGGAGGGTGATTTAGTGTCCGACCTGTCCAAAAGTGACCGTCCCCCACGGCACGAGTGGCTAAATCTGGGCCGGCGTTACAGCTGTGTCATCCCCGGGCAGCACTTTTCCCCGCGTCTCCGGAGTCGGCAGTGCGTCGGTGACGTTCTTCCCCTCACTGGAACGGACGGTGGAGGCGCCACGGTGCCAGCTCCGCCGGCTGACCCGACCTAGACCGGTCCGCTAAGCCGACTGGCCCGTCCAGAACCGCCCCCTCCCCGGTGTATTCCATGGCTGAAAAGGTCGGTCAGGGATGGACGCAGCTATATCACAATCGTGACCGTTTGTCTGAATAAAGCGAGCGGGTCGTTCGGTCCGCCTCCATCGCTCCCGTCTCCGGTCCATAGCCAGCTGCAAGGCCGTGTCGTAAACGGTGACGGATTCGACGCGTCACTGTCCGCGCGACTCGCCAAACGGAGCTCTCGTGTGCCTGCAGATAAGCGAGCAAACAGAGCAAACAGAGCTCGAGGTCCGGCCATCCGTCAGGTTCGATTTGGTCCCGGTGGGTGACCTCAGGTATTGGTTCTTTTCAGCAGCACTGAGCCGATAGAGCTCCATCTCAACGGCACTGGTGCAGCACCGATTCTTTTCAACGGCGGGCCGGGGTAGGTATTGGCTCTTGATGACTGATAGCATTCGCCATTCTCTCATAAAACCAGACAGATTTACTCCTGTAACTTTGGTGCCGGAAGACTTAATTCAGAAATCAATACATTTTTCCACGAAAATAGTATGTTCCGTTAGTTCCTGAACATTCGCAATAAGTATAATAAATAAGTCGCAATAAGTCGCAATAAACGTAAGCATTACCCATGGGATAATCGATTGCGTGTCGACGACCATTAAAGATGCAACCAAAACGCCTCTGATGGGCGCCCTTGGCCGGGAAAATTCTCCGTGCATGTTAAACATCTCAGTAACTGGGCTCATCTAGACTAATGGGCGCAATTGTGAAACATCTGTTTGTATCATCCGTCGTTGCAACTTTTGAAGAAGCGGAGTGCAATCGAGAAAGGAGCGCACGTTCTCACGCGCACGGTCCAGAGAGCGCTCGACGTCTCGAGCTCGGTGAGAGTGACCGTGACAAGGCAGGGACGCACGGAATGATTGCGCGTGAGACACTCGAGCTCTTCTGCTCAGCTGCGTCAAGTCGACTTAAGGCTTTTGCGCTTGGAACACATGAGCTTCGTCACGTGATAAATGCACAGCATAATTCATGCGGTATAACAGCGAAAACATTTTTTTCCTATCGATAACCAAGTCAATGTTTATTTTTGTTTATTGGAATCCGTTCGCGAGTGCACCTACTACCACGGATCCTTCCGTAAACGCCAAACGGGTGCAGCTGGTATCGTCCCCGTGCCCGTGCACGAGTTCCCGGGCTATACCAAGTCCAAAGACCTGGGGTGGGGTAGTCGCGCCGTGCCGAAAACAGGTCGAATTTTCAGTTTTGTAATGGAAACAATCTCCGATAACATATCTCCTTGTGCGAGTCAGATGGCGTTGACTTGACTACATGTTTCTGTTTATTGCCAAGCCAACACAAGTTACCGGACAGTGACCGTCTCCTCGATTCCCATACCTCCTCGACCTCTCTCTCGCCCCACCGGCTGCGGTCACGCGTCAAGCATCGGCAGTGCTTGCAGTGACTCCTAAACTTCTGGTACATACCTACGCCTCCAGCCGCGGCTGGGACGGTGACAAGTTAGCGAACAAAAGTACGAATCACAAATGTTCGAATGGCGAGTGCAGGTATGCATATTGCACATACATATAACCTACGTCAGCAAAGGTCAAGGGCTCTGTCACGACTCGATGGTTGGGTGGGGGGGGGGGACGAATCCCGTTCGAAGTCTATTCTTTTCATGCAGTACCCATGATAGGCATAATGGCTACGTTTCCACGGCACAGGCTAAGCCGATTTTGACAAATGGATTTGCTCCATCATAGCATTTAGACATAATTTAAAAATGTAAATATAGGATTAGGTGACAGCTAAAACCATATTTACGCTCATTTTTTGCGTTTCCGAGAAAAACGCGCGTGAAATTTCGCTAAATTGATTTAGACGTGTCATGGAAGCGTAATGAATGTTACAAATGCGAAATATTGAGGGGAACAAGTCCCCCCCCCCCGGTGGCGGAGCCCATGGCAAAGGTTGGTAACTTGGTAGAACGAAAGAAGATACGTGAGCTTGTCGCAAATGTTCGCACGGACGGTGGCGCCCTCCCCTCAGTGCACACCTATATTTTCAAGCGAGACTTTACTGAACTTACAGCAGATGTCAGCACTCTAGCGAGTAACTTTTGTAGATGTCGTTCTAAATCCATATATTCTTTATGATTCTATACTTTTGGGGTTTCTTTGAATTGCTTTCTAGAAATTTCAGTTTGAAAATTTCTTCTGAAAAACACAGTTTTGGTCGAGTTTGAAATTGGAACTATTATTTCAGATAAAAATATATTTCTGAAAATGGCCTTGTGCATTATTCGGTCACGAACTTCCTTTTCCAAGTGAGGCGATCATGGCGGTCGGCAAAAGCAAAAACCAGGGAAAATCTGGCAAGAAGGGCGGGAAGAAGAAGGTGTAAGTATTGAAATTATTTGTTTGCACAAGATTCAGTAACTCATGGAAAAGTTTTACGACTTTTCATTCATTAGGAGCCAGTGTGTGAAGGTTGGAAGCGTCTGTCACCATCACCAGTTTTTAAGTAGGTACTAATTGTTTTGGTTTACAGGGTCGACCCCTTCACCCGCAAGGATTGGTATGACATCGTCGCGCCTTCCAACTTCAAGGTCCGTCAGATGGGGAAAACCCTCGTCAACAGGACCCAGGGCACAAGTAAGCAATTATTTGATCGTGAAGGATGTCTGCATCCGCAGAGTGCTTGTTGTGTAATGGCACGTGTTGCATGGCGTTAAAATTGTGAGTCTGTGACAGATCTTGTTGCCGGTGTGGGGGCTCTCAGTGTTTGGTGCAGTGCAGATCAACTGGTGTTCAAGTTTTGAGGTTGCAGGCCTCAAAATTGCAATTAGGTGAACTGCTGTGCGGGTGTAGTAATTCCTTACCTTACCTTACCTTCAAAGTGTTTGGTTCTAATGTGTATCACATTTTGCACATTTTGTCAATATTGATAAGTGATTCTTAAAGTGACCATCCCACCTAAAGATAAGCTTTGAGTTGAGATAGCCAAATTGGGGTCCTCGGCTCGCAGTTACCAGTTAGGGCTATCACAATAACTTTTGTATATAATATTATTTATCACTTTTCTAGAACAATATTACACAAACACAAACTTGCAAAAAATGCACGCAGCAAACACATAGTGTGGCCAGGCCTTGATATCTTTGTGAGGCAGCAGTAGTGGTGGTATATTCTGTTTGCACGCTACATATGACTCACTTAAAGAATACCAAATTATTTATTCCAAATGGCGTCATAGGAACAGTGAAGGCTCTGAAATATAAACAAAAGTAATTGGTTACTATCTCAAAACAGATAGGTAAACAGTTTTCAATGAAATTTGGTACCTAGATATTCATTTCTGCTCAATCTGAACCATGCAATACCACTGTTATGCCAATTCATTACTTTTTGTGAAGGTGGGAGTGTCCCTTTAGTTTAAGGTCTGTCGTGTCATCTTATTATATGCCATAAGTTATGCTTTTTTAAAGTTCCTGGGAGCTCAAAAGGTTGAAATGGGTGGGCAGGTGATTTTCTTTGCTTGATGGCATGTGTGCATCTGGTTATTCTTAGGTGTTGTTTTTATCCGCTGGGACTGAGAGCGTGAGATGATGTTTTTCGTACTCCATAACACCTACCCATCTACGCTGGAGTACGAAAAACATCATCTCTCGTGCATCTGGTTAATCTATTATCAACAGCCATTCTCCATCGTCAGGTGAAGAAGTCAAACTGAAAAAACCCTAAATGTAATAATTAAATCCTAGATTCAAATTGGATTGACTTTTGGTCAACATTTCTACAAGGATTTTAAATGGTACCAGCTCAATAACAATTATGGAGATGATGTTTGACTTAAGTTCTATGGATAAATCTTGGGACACATTTTATTGATGCAGTTTTTCAACCAAAGCAAGGTGTAGGCTACTTTGATAAATGACCAAATCAAGCATTGTTTTTTTTTTTTAAAAAAATATGCATCCTGGTAGGCTACTTTGATAAATGACCAAATCAAGCATTGTTTTTTAAATATGCATCCTGTTCTTAGTTCAATGCCATTTTTTAAGGCTCAGTAGTCAGTACAGGAATAAGTATTTGCCCAGGTGTGCTGGACTGCTGATTGTGATATCCTAGGTTTCAGTGGGTTTAGTGCTTGATGCAGGGACTCCTCACATGGTGGTCCGGGATTGGTGGGAGCAGCTGCGCCAGGGGATGTCTGCAAGTGGGACTTGTGTTGTGTGGAGTGTTGACTTTTCTGAGCATGGGTATCTTAACCCTCGCCCGCACATGCCATTTTCCCATCCTAGAACGCACATGGGGGGGGGGGGTGGTTGCCACCCCCCCCCGCGCCATTTCGTTCCTGTTGGAGATAGAGCTTAGCGGTAAAGACCAAAAAGATTCTTTGGGAAGAGACGAATCCAATGATACCCAGTTTTACCTTCTCAGGTCAGTCATTGACCTTCCAGGTCAGGTCAAACTAAAAAATGTTGCTGTTTTGGGTCACCGTTGGATATCAAGTGCGCTGCTTATCATATACCGATAACGATGCTGTTTTCTGGTGCCAAGCCAGCTAGAACCTCTTTCTCACACTATCCGACCAGGTTTTTGCTGCTGAGGTCATTTCAGGTCAAGTTAGGTCAAGGTCAATTATATGTGTTTGTATGTCTGTGTGTGTCTGTGTGTATACTGATGTGTGCACCGATTGTTTATGTGTCCATATTACATGAAATCATGATCTGAGAAGCTTTTACCAAAAATGCAGTCAAAAAACTTCACAAAAAGTAAATTCCGCTTGCCTAAAATGCAATTATCTTAGATGACCTAGGTTGACCTTGACCTTGACCTTGACATCTGTACATCGTCGAACAACATGTTCCATGATGGGTGGGAGGTAAGAATGGTAAAAAAGGCCGAAATCAAGGTGTCAAAAGCTCACAAGGCCCATAGCCAACGCAAGATGTCGAGAATTGGCCATTTGGGTCATGACATGACCTGAAAAACAAGGTCATATCTCCAAAACCAAAGGTCACAGAAACTTGAAATTTTCAGTGGACATCAAGAAAGGATAGAGAAGCAGCTATACGAAAAATCAGCCTTCTAGCTCTAAAAATGTTGAGTGCAGAGCAGAAAGACTACCTGGGGGGGTGGCAACCACCCCCCCCCATGTGCGGGCGAGGGTTAACTCTCCTAACATGCAGCATTTTTCATTCTGAGGTTAATGTCATTGTTATATTCAACAAGCATTTCTGAGCTTGGCTGTTACTGAATTGATTGATTCAAAAGTAATAAACCAAATATCACGTAAAACCTGTCAAAATTTGCAACTAAAATGTGTATTGCACTTTTGCAGTCATTTGCCTCTGCATTGCAAATATTTGTTTTGAAATAGCTTGGTGGTTGCTGTCGTTAATCAGCAAAATAAATTGTAATACTATGTTTTTAGCATTTTAAACACTGGTTGGCTTCATGTAATTTGGAGCTTTTCGGTAGGCATTTGAGAGATCGAAAGGAAGCAATACAAAATCTGCTGCAAGTCATCAATTATTTAGCGCATTCTATCCGTCTGTTGAACAATGTGTGGTTCTTCAGACCTACAATATGCGCAACATCGAATGGTCTTTTCGGATGCTGAGCTGGTACTGTCACCAGCCCGGACTTGAATGGACTTACATTGTTATATCATTATCATGGCTTCATCTACTAACGATTTTACACAATTTGAATATGCCTTGCAGTTGCATCAGCTTTTCTTATTTTCTGCCATTTTGCTGTTGTACTCTGTAATGTTCTGACTTGCTTGACTCACATAGTTTGATCATTTTTGCCAGTGTGCGATTTGAGTTTTCGTTTGTGCGGACGTGGGACGGTGTGTCTGACCATCTGTGACCATGTACGACGAGTTTTCGTCTGTGCTGACGGTGTGCCGCCGTTTCGTCCGGCAGGGATCGCGTCGGACGGTCTGAAGGGCCGCGTGTACGAGGTGTCTCTGGCTGACCTGCAGCAGGATCAGGATGCCGAGAGGTCCTTCCGGAAGTTCAAGCTCATCTGTGAGGAGGTCCAGGGCAAGAACTGCCTGACCAACTTCCACGGCATGGACATCACCACTGACAAGCTCAGGTCCATGGTCAAGAAGTGGCAGGTATGAAAAAACTGTTGTTCGTACTGTTGCCTGATATTTGGTTACAAGCTGCATGCTTTCTCGTCATTTGCGGCATTCATCGTCGTATCGTGCACAGTGTTATTGTTTAAAAGTGGCAGTTTTCGTTCACGGCTCCGAAGTTTTTGCTTTTCTCGTTGATGTTTTATTTTAGAAGGGCGAAATATCGGCGCATTCTATCCGTGTGTCGGACCGGTCGTGGTTCGTCAGACCTACAATGTGCGCAACATCAAATGGTCTTTTCGGATGCGGGTCTGGCTTTGTGCCTGGTTCGACTTGAAGAAACCTACATTTCGTGACAATTGTAGTAATAAATGGACAAGTATTGCATCGAGAGTACATGAACCTCCAGGCTCCACGAATCAAACAATTAAAACAGTTACATTAAAGGCGTACCGGTTTCGTCTATTAGACTTCTTCAGCGCCGTTGTATGAAACAAGGAACAAGAAAACGAGCACATCAATCGTTTGAAATAAATAGCACGTATTTCTGAGAACAAGGTCAGAGTAGTCGGGTACCTCCTAAATAAATTTACCTCCTATAAATAAATACCTCCTAAATAAATTTCGTTTTATTTAGGAGGTACCCGACTTTACTGTATGCCTGGCCTATTCAAATACATTAGCCAGAGGGGTGTGGTAATAACTGGTGTAAGCAAATTGACCACGGTCAAAAATGTATTACCAGAATGCACTTAAGCCAACATTTTGGGATGGTCTCGTTCCTAAGTCGGCTAAGAGCTTCAGTCCAGAAAATAAATTTTTCGTTGGCATACAGTAAAATACATACCAAACTCGGCCGGTGATAAATTTTCAAGACCTCAGTCCTTACTGATTTTTGAACTCGGCCTTCGGCCTCGTTCAAAAATCCAGTAAGGACCTCGGTCTTGAAAATTTATTTACACCGGCCTCGTTCAGTATTATATAACTCTGACCTTGTTCTCAGAAATACGTGCTATTTATTTCAAACGATTGATGTGCTCGTTTTCTTGTTCCTTGTTTCATACAACGGCGCTGAAGAAGTCTAATAGACGAAACCGGTACGCCTTTAATGTAACTGTTTTAATTGTTTGATTCGTGGAGCCTGGAGGTTCATGTACTCTCGATGCATTTCGTGACAAGCCCATTAAAATCATACATAATGCTCTAGCTCATGAATGAGGTTATCTGTTGTCTGTTTCATAAAAGGTATACGAAAACAGTCTTCAATGGAAGTCACTGATCACTGCGTGTTCGTCTCATCGTTCCACTGATTGCGCTACTGCTATGTGCCGTACCGTCTAACCTCATTTGTGGCTCGTGCGCAGACCCTGATCGAGGCCAACGTGGACGTTAAGACCACCGACGGCTACCTGCTGCGGGTGTTCTGCATCGGCTTCACCAAGAAGAACCCCAACTCCGAGAAGAAGACGGCCTACGCGCAGCACTCTCAGATCCGTAACATCCGCCGCACCATGGTGGATACCATCAACAAGGAGGTGGGCTCGGTCGACCTGAAGGAGGTCGTCAACAAGCTGATCCCCGACACCATTGCCAAGGACATTGAGAAGGCCTGCAGCAAGATCTACCCCCTCCACGATGTCTACCTGCGCAAGGTAAGTGACCGGCGATTGGCTGAATGAGCTGGACCGTGCCGAGCTCGATTACGCTTAGGGCGATTTTTTCCTAACCGGATAGCTGTGTCTCGCGTAAATAACCCCGTTGGAAACCGCACGAAGTAGGAGTTCCTGCACCTCGACAGTCTTTGTCATTATGGACCTGCAATCTACATGATTCTCCCTCCCATGCCCAGAGTACGGTCACTGAAGCATTGCTGATGGTCTATAGGTACCGGTCTGGCTAGGCGTCTGTCTGGAAATGCACTGCCAGTCGACCTACGTCTGAATATAGCCTTGCTGCTAATCATTGGTCAGCCTGTTATTGAGTCAATGAATGTCAATATCTGATCGTCATGACTGGTTGAAGGTGAACACCATCGCGTAAGGTCGAAAAGGGTTGGAAGGGCTCCTCTGTCTCGCTTATAAGTTAAAACATGTTTTCGATGTACGATCCACTCCCAGCGGTCTGGTGCTTCCTAGGTTTCACCAGCGTGTTGTTTGTGTTCCGTGGTTGTGTGATCCGGCTGACCGCGCGCCCTCGCCGCACCCCCCAGGTGAAGGTGCTCCGCCGTCCCCGGTTCGACATGAGCAAGCTGCTGGAGCTGCACGGCGACAGCAAGACCACCTCGTCCAACGTCGGCGAGGCCGGCGCGCCCGTCGAGAAGGCCGACGGATACGAGCCGCCAGTGCTCGACTCGGTCTAACTCTAGCGAATACACGCGCGACGCTGTGAAACACGGGTTTGTCGATCGGAGACGAGGCAGATAGTGAGGTGGGCCACTAGGGGCACTACAGCAGCTGCAGCGTATTCCAGATCATTTCACGTAAACCAGGGTAACCACCGCCATGAGACTGCCAATTGATTCCGCGGATTTGAATATATGGTGCCAGTGGCGCTCGGGCTGACCGCTTATACAAGCTCGTGAGGCTGTAACAGGTGTCAGCACTATCGCGGCGGGCATGATACACAGTAAAACGTAAACGGTCAGCGCTGCTTTCTTGATGGATACGACCGCACAACACGATCCACGATTCTCTGATCAGTGATGAAGCCATTTGTTCATTTATTATTGACACAAGAGACAAGGACAAGTGATCTGGAGTACCATGCGATAGAGGGAGTTGCGTTCTAGTCGCGGCATCTGGAGAGCTCGGTGTAGGCGAGGGTCGGCATTCATATGAAACACTTCATCCACTCCGGTGCAAGAAGCTGTTGAGCCAACACTGGCAGCAGTGGCTCTTTATCATCGAAATCATCTATCTAAATCGGTTGTTTATTCACCATAATTGTGCTCGTGGCGCGGTTTGCAACGGGGATTATTAGAAACGCTTATTCTACATATGTAGTTTGTGGAAAGTGTACAGAAAGTCTAAAAAAAATCCGCTCTGTCCTGATCTAGCAAATGTGCTTACTGCTTATGCTTATTCAGCTCGGGCGTTGCGTTACGTCGTCTTCATTATGTCGCCATGGTTAGTGGTTTCGTTCCATTCTCGGCTGCCGGAAGTGGTCTAACTTCCCGCGTGCTCTGCGGTCCTGGTCTCCGTGTGCTGTACGGTTCTGGTCTCTGTACGCTGTTCCGTTTTGATCTCGGTGCGGGTAGCCGAGGCCCCGTGGTGCTGAACCACCTCTCGGACGCTGATATCGATCCTGACTCGATCCGAGGGCGGGGGAACCACCACGTTGTCAGGCTGTATCCACTCTTCGCCCATGGTCAGCAGAGGAGCGCCGGGCCAGGTCAACTTGCCATCTTCATCCGGCCTCCAGGGGACGTATTTCGGCGGCGACGCATTTGCGGGTCACGGGTGCATCACCACTCAGCACTTTGTTCACCAAAGGGGTCGGGAACCGGGCGGGGAGTGACTCGTGAACTGGCGCAGTGAACATCTCTGTCAGAACGCGCGTCTCACCGATGTGCGTCTCCACCATGAGCTCGTAGAAGCCGTCGCCGTTGGATCCGATGATGTCGTTGGCCAGCTGCAGGATCGAGTAGGGCTGGTGGTCGTTCTCGAGCCGTCGCTCTCCCAGTCCGTCCCTCCACAGTAGGTTTTCGGCGGTCCACCCGGAGCCGACGCTGGAGAGCACCTGCGTAAACCCGCCGGCCGTCATGTTGCACCACAGCGGCAGGGTCTTGCCGTCGATCCAGCCCCCGTAGACGCCGTCATGGAGCGCGCCGCGGCGGCGCAGTTGGAGGCAGGTCAGCGCGGTGTCGTCTGCGCCAGCCAGGCACACGTGTCCTCGGCAGCGGTCTCCGGGGTGACGGCAGTCGGCGTCCGCTCGGCAGAACTGATCCCGCCAGGAGTTGCCAGACATCAGCAGGTAGTCGGCTCCCGTGTACGGCCGGAACGCGCTGTAATTGGCCACGGTTGGGTAGAGCAGGCAGCGCTGGTTGGCGCTGATGAACGCCAGGCTGGCACAGCGCGGTCGGACGTGGCAGAGGGCGCAGCACCGACAGCTGGTGGAGGCGGACAGCACGTGCAGCGGCGGGTCTGTGGGCAGACCGTGCTGCTGGGCGGTCAGCTGACAGCCCAGGCTGGAGACCCCCAGCAGCAGGGCGGCAGCCGTCACTACCAGGTGCCTCACCCCAGCCGACATGGTGGCCGTCCGACTAAACCAGACTGGAATGGGCGCATATCCCACGACGACGTGATTTATACGATACACAGCCGAGCGGCGAATATGCTGGTCGATGGCAGTAGCATCGTGGTACTGCAATATAAATGGAAACACTGTTATTACTTTTATGATGATTGTAGGCCTCAGCAGTGTGTAAACGCGCTTGCCACGGTGTTCTCATTATTGCCACGATTATCGCTTGCAGAAGGGAAGTGCACATCGTCCTACTCTTATAGACCGTAACAGAGCTGAGGTTCGGGCAAAGCCAATAACTGGACTGAAAGGCTCTACTGCGGAGTCGGAGTCGGTCAGAGTCGACAGTTATGCCCGGAGTGGGAGTCGGAGTCTACTTTTGATGCTGGAGACAGAGTCACGAAAAATCCATAGACTCCACAGCCCTACCACTATACATATATGTAACTGGCACCAATGTCCGCTATTGCAAGTAACTGAAGATTAAAAACGTACAGTGGCGGATCCAACAGGAGGGGCGGGGGGTCACATGAGCCCATCGGCACCACAAGTGCACCACCGGCCTATCAGGGGCACCACAGGCTCGCCAGGGGCACCACACGCCTAGCAGGGACGCCACGGGCCTGTCAGGGGCACCACAGACTTGTCAGTTGTCAGAGGCACCACAGGCCTGTCAGGACCACCATCGGCCTAGCAAGAGCACCACATGTCTGCCAGAGGTACCACAGACCCCACAGACCTGCCAGGGGCACCACCGGCCTCGCAGGGGCACTTTGGGCCTGTCAGGGGCACCACAGACCCGACAGTGGCACCACAGGCTCGCCAGGGGCACCACAGGCCTGGGGGGGGCACCACGTGCCTGTCGGGGACACTTCAGGCTTGTCAGGGACACCACAGGCCTGCCAAGGGCACCAACGGCCTCGTAGGGGCACCTTGGGTCTGTCGGGGACACTTCAGGCTTGTCAGGGGCACCCAGTCCTATCAGGGCCCAGGGGCACTTGCGGCCTAGCAGGGGCACCACGGGCCTGTCGTCGGCACTTCAGGCTTGTCAGAGGCACCACAGTTCTTCCAGGAAAACCACAAACCTGTCAGGGGCACCACAGGCCTAGCAAGGACACCACAGGTCCGCCAGGGCCCATGGGCACCTTAGGCTTGTCAGGGGGGGGGGGGGGGGGCAGGGGCACCACAGTCCTTCCAGGGGCACCGCAGGCCTGTCAGGGGCACCAGTCACCACAGGCCTACCCAGACCAGACCAGAGGCACCAAAGGCCTGTCGGGGGCACCACCGGCCTAGCTGGGCCGCTGTCACCTGAGTCATCAGCAGCATTGCAAACACTAAACAGATTTATCACAGGATGGCTCGGCATGCGGATTCTTTTATAAGGCACAAACGATGTGAAGTGTGTTTCAGGGGAACAGCCAATCCAGCGTTTATTGCTCATCCAGACATTCAGTGGCCCGCTTCCCTGTTCGTGTCATTACGTTCTGTTGGTACTGTTTCGCTATTGCCGCTGTTTATGACTATAATGAACGCCCTTGTATGCTGCTGATGGAGCCCGCCTACCCACAACACAGCAACTTGGTTGGACTCTGTCGCGGTCATATACATACATTATGCAATAAGCCTCCGTGGCTTTTGTCCGTGCCCCGCTCCTAGATGCGTTCCTTGACTACGTAATATACCGTTCAAGAGCGATCTAGGGCGTACTAAATCAGGCACCCTATAAACACTTTGCTCCTGGAAATATTAGCTGTGAAGAACTGGCTTTATTTGAATGACGGAGCTCAAGCAGTCACATGATGCGGAGAGATCACAATGCGGATGATATTGAATAGAGCGAGATATGTAAATCACATCACAAAAATATTGGGCACATCTGTCGAGCCTAGTCCTATCATACCGTCATCGTTGTTTAAATACCAATACGACAAAAGAAAGCAGTCACCAAACTTACGCACTGCAGCCTGCGTTGCGCACAAACATAAATTTTGAAAAGAACGATCCCAATAATTAATTATAAATGAAAAATGAATGCCTCACGATGCATTCCGATTACAATTAACCAACAAAAAAGTTCGTTTTTCTCCGAACGTGCACGTCTAACTACCGAAATGGTCATAAAAAATAATGTAACACTGTTTTACAAATCAGTGCCACCTCAACACAACGCCAGCATTCCTTCTGAACTACCAATGAACTAAAAAGGCAACCGTAACATGACTAGCACGTATCAGGCAAACGGTAATTGCGAGACGACGAATAAGGGAGAAACCATGATCGACAACAATACAAATGGAAACAAAGCAAAATGAAATTGCAGAGCCACAACAGGCTCGCAACACATGACACTAGTCAAAAGCATGTCGAACACACGATAGCGCGGTGGCAGCATTTGAAAACAGCTGGAATGGAAGCAGCCTTTCACAAGTGACGAGCGTTTCAGTACAGACTCGTCTTTTTCATGATTCGCAGGAACTCATCCTGGTTGATTTCGCTGTCCCCGTCGAGGTCGGCCTCCTCAATCATCTCCTGGAACACGGACACAAATCAAACTGCATCCCAGGTTCCCAGCGATAAACGACAATCACACAGGCCAGTATCATTTCATACAGTTCACCAGCTCCTATGGCTGGCCATATATGTAGCACATCAATAGATAACGTTGTACTAAGATTAGGGCCTTTTATATACCTGACGCAAAATGGTTTGTGCAAGGAAGCATCGTATTTTGTATTTATGACATTTAACAGTGCACATACTTTATCGGTTCACATTCATTCAATAATTTAATTTTGTTTTATAAATTTAGTACGAACCTTTTGAGTGGAAGGATTCACAAGGACAGAGCCCCCGCTAAGCAGAGCTTGTTGCGTTGGTCCTGCCCTCTACCCTCCGATCGCGCAATTCCTGCTCTATGGCAGAATTTAGAATCCAAAGCTTAACGTACTCTTATAGCCGCACACGGTCGGTCCCCTCACTGACTTCAACTGGCAACGGCCCGCCACCACCCGCAACCATACCTGTCAGGAGGGTCATAAACTTCGCGCTTCAAACCCATAACCGGGACGCGTGCTCTCACCACGCGGAGTCCAACGCTCAACCGATTGAGCTACGGGACCGACTGCAAATTGGCTGCAATGGACCGGCTAATTGCAACGTTCCTTCCATTTCCTTGTTATTTCTTATATACCCTACCATGCACGTATGCATTGCTATGAATCGGGATATGACTGCATGAAACACAAAAAAGCTCGCTTCCAGTTCATAGCCGGCCGTACTGGTCATCAACATACCTGTAGCTCTTCATCGGTGAGATTCTCTCCGAGTTCTTCCGAGACACGTTTGAGATTCTTGAATGATATTTTTCCGGTTTCGTCGTCATCGAACAAACGGAAGGCCTTCAGTATTTCCTCTTTGGTATCTTTTTCTGCCATTTTCGAAGTCATCAACGCCAGAAAATCGTCGAAACATATTTTACCTGCAAAATCATGGCACAAGCAATTGAGACAATCACATGACATGTTAACTTTACAATATGGCTTAAAAACATATAGGTAGAACCTATGCCCATTTAAGCTACACAACTGTTCTTTCATGTGCAATCTCTGCTCACCAGAGTTGTCCTTGTCAACCTCTGCAACCATTTTCTTTATTTCTTCTTTCCTGGGTTCAAATCCTAGGGCTCGCAAGGCTACCTGCAACAAAAACTACTGTCAAATATGCATCCTTATCCATACCAATTTGACAATCTCACAGCCGCCAAAAACACGCTCTCACAGCCGCTACTAAACCCTATCGGTATCTACCAGGGTTCATCGCTCGGGCCATTGTTGCACAATGTATATGCTAATGACCTGCCGCTCTACACCGACAACTCCACCGGCATCATCGCCTACGCGGACGACGTCCAACTGTACGTTTCCGGACAGCCGAGAGACATCGTTCAGCTGAAACGGTCACTGGAAGGCAGTCTATCAGTTCTGTCGAACTGGTATGGCAAGAACGGCCTCAAGTTAAACGCTGCCAAAACTCAGCTGATCGTCCTCGGCACGCCGGAGATGACTCGTCGTCTGCCTCCCATTACCATCAACTTCTGCGGCTCCACCATCACCAGCTCTGACACTGTCAAGAACCTGGGAGTATGGTTTGACAGTGACATGTCGTTTGTGACGCATACCAGTGACGTGGTGCGGCGGTGCACCGGTACCTTGTGTGGCCTGAGTCACAGTAGACACAGTCTCCCAGCGACAGTCATGGTAACGTTGGTGCAGGGGCTCGTCTTGTCGATTATTAGGTACTGTCTGTCCGTTTACGGTGCCAGCAATGTAACCCAGCGCAAACGACTTCAAAAGCTGGTTAGGTTTGCTGCACGAGTCGTCTCAGGCCGTAGGAAGTATGATCGGGTGAGCGATGTTATCAACGAACTCGGCTGGCTTAACACCGAGAGCTTGTTCAGGTACCAATCCATCGTGCTGGTGAACAAAATGCTGGCCACGTCAGAGCCGCAGCAGTTCGCCACCTGTCTAGTCACCCGGCAGAGTGTACACGGGCGGGATACCAGGTACAATGACATGCTTGTGACCCCCACTGTCAGGTCAGAGTCCGGACGTCGCCGTTTTCTGTACTCTGCGGTGTCAGGGTACAACGAGCTGCCGGCGGACCTGCGCGCTCTCAGTCAGGCTCGATTCAAGCCGGCACTGAGGGAGCATTTGTTTGACCGCGAGCGAGCCACTTAGCTGTCCTAGTTAGCACAAGTGATGAGGGTGAATGTGTGAATGATTGCGGTGACTGTTGTCATATCCCATTCGATTTGTATATGCACAACGACTTGGACATAGAATAGCCGTGTTTCCACGGACATGTCTGTAATGTGAAATAAATCATATATTAAAGTAGACATAAAGTCTTGCAGCCTAGTGGATTCTGTGTCTAACTGGTGGCTTAGCGGCAATGAACTTGTGGCCAGGAGATTGCCAATTGCTTGAGAGGGTGTCTTTTCAGGCTATTTGTCAAAATGGTCACACTGGTCACAAGAGAAACATGGCACAATCTACCTTTAATGTGTTGAATTTTCATATCAAATCTGGGCCAGGCATACCCATTCAACCAATTAGACTAAATTTCAGAACAAAATACTGAATAATGCATCCCCATCTCCTCCTTTTTACTTATGATCATAATTAGAAAAATATTCAAAATATAAATGTTATTGATAATATATCTGAAACAAAAGCAATTGGTATATATTCCAATAGCATGCTTCTATAGAAGAGATTCGCTTATTTCAAAGGTTGAAACCACAATACCAATCAACAATACTTTGCAATGATCTTCCAAGAACCCTTACAGTCCATGACCATTCTATAGGCCCCTAAAAAGTCATTCTCAGCTGTTTAAGATTCTGATTCACATGGGAATTTCAACAGGAATCCTATTCTCACAGTGATGAGCTTTAATGTTCAACAAAACATTGGGTACCTTCAAATCCTTTGAATCTATTGTTCCAGTTCCTTCTGTATCAAATAAATCAAAGGCTTCTCTGATATCAGACTTCTGTTCTTCATTCAGGTCCAGTTTAGGACCAGATGACTTCTTCTTCGACTTTGCTACAGTTGACTGAAAACAGAAAATATGAGTAAGTATACAAATTCAGAATGCATAATTTGTAAAAAAAAAAACAACATGCTTGCCAGCCGAGGATGGAACCACTGCTGCAATAGGGGTCTAAGAATTGGATAAAACCAGCTGGCTGGCCAGCTGGCGACGTATGTGCTAGCTATGTCCTTCATTGATCATCCACAGCATCCTGATGCCCTAGACAGGGATTTTCTTTGACAGCATTAGCAAAATTAACCCTGCTGATCATGAAGCTTCTGATAGTGTTCTTTGGTTGGTTGGTTTTGGGTTAAGCACCACATCCAGTGGACCAAGGCGCTAACTAAGGCGATAGTGTTCTTTTACTTCAAAACAACATACCTAATTCATACCTGCTTCCTAGCAACATACCATTTCTCGTAAAACGGAGATCCAAAGCTGCAGCTACGACCGCTTTTTCAACGTGCGTAGAAAGGTAACACCACTCCTGCGATTTGTTAGAATATCACAGTTGAGATGCGTTTGACGTATCTAGATTGACTTAACGTTCATTTGCATCTTAAATCAAGTACAGCCTTGAATTAATCCAACAAACCCCTAAAGTCAACACCACAATCTCAAGCCCTATCACTAATGCATTGTCAAGTGAAACGTTGAAAACTTTCGGAAATGTGGCATGAAAGGCCAACATCCCGTGACCTTTTTGTACATATATATTCTGTTTTGTTTTCATGAAGCTTATTGTCTTATTACCAATATATAATTCGATGTTTGAATAAAATTTTAAGACACATTGTGTTACAATACGAATATTCTACCCCCTAAAAACACTACTTAGCAAATAGTCACGTGACCTAAAACACCTGCATGACATCCTCACGATGGCCTTGATCCTCACTTAGCGGCTATTCCAATCCATAAACAAAAACTTGTACTCATGGCTATTAAAAAATATTCATTTGCAGACATTTATTCCCAAAACATATAACAAAAACTTCATTTTTGCCTTTAATTTTAAAATAAATTCATCCAGCGTTTCAACTTTTCGTTTACTGGCAAACCTCAAAATAAAATTTATCAGCTTCCGATTCGACGCCATATTTGTTTTGGAAGAGCCCCGTGTGTTGATGATGGACATGCCTAAGAGCTGGACTTTTTGCACGCGTTCCCCGCCAGGGGGCGCCACTAAGGAAGCACCCTCTGACGTCACGATAAAACTGCGCGCACTGTGCGCACGGTTCTGTAAGCAAGTAACATAGTGGTGGTTTCACGGTGGAAATTGGAATAAGTATTTTGACGTTGTAAAATTTCAAGCCGTTTTTGTGAAATTAATTAGTAAATGCATTTCAAAAGTATTTATTTAAAGTGTGAAAGGAGAATGATTAGAAGAACATGCATATTTTTGTTCCAATAGCTTATTATGTGAGACATGATCGGTACTAACGGGTACTTCTAAGAAATAGTGAAGAAGTACCAAAGAGCCTGCTCGGCTACGATCGTCAGCTGTCCTTTGGAGCTGGACTTCAACGCTGTAAAAAAAATGTGTGCTGAATTAATTTATAGTTTTACCAAAATATAGGCAATTTATCATTTCCTTTTCACTTTTGTAATTTTTGTTGAGTAAAGAGATATGTTGCTAGTTCTGACAATATAAATTATTAATTAAAAAAACGAAATGCGACGGTAAGTATCTGCTACTAAATTATCACTTTCACCAAATACGTGGAAAATCTTGCTACCATTGCTTATAAAACGTGCTTATCAATACACAAATGTTTTATTTCAGACAAGAACGATTTATTTGCCTGAAGTCTTGCGTCATGTGCTACTGCTTTGATTCCAAAGACGCTCTCCGGGTCGGGGTAATTTAGTTCTTCATCGATCGATAAGAGATTTTGATTCCATTGATATCCAAATTGATAAGCTCGGCACCATGGAGTAAGGGCGTCCCCACAGGGGTGACGCAGGAAATATGAATGGCGTTTACACCGACAGCAGTTTCCCACAGCCGGCAATGGGAATCTCCTGTCGGTGTAAACGCTACTATAGTCCCATCCACCTCAAACACTGGGGAATATCCCCGCACTTTTGAGGACGGAAATCTACTGGACCTGCTCGAAAAATAGTGGATAAAATACGGCGAGCTTTCAGTTTTATGGTTGGGTCTCCCTTCCGAGGCACATATTTACGGGGGATATTGGGTCATATTCCCCCGGCGTCCTGATGATCGGCGCCCAGCTAAACGTCGAAGGCGCCCTGGCCCCTGATACGCGGCACTGCTATCTGTGAAGGTGCCCAGATTGCTGCCGCTCGAATTTTGGTCGCCTACTTAACAAACCTCCGTTGGTGCCATCTCAGTTTCCTCGAGGTCAGGCAACCTTCACACGCCGTTGGCTACCTTGGCTGGCCGGCGACTCGTTCCCCTCGTGGCGACGCTCTTGACATCCAGTCAAAAGTTGAGTGGCTGGGCGCTGGCGCCCCCAGTGGGGGCCGGGGAAGGGGCAGTGGGCCTCCACGTTGCTCTCTTCCCGAGCCTATGGTGACTTGGCTCAACTCTCCTCAATAGAATCTGGATTCTGCACGCTGTATGAACATGGGCGTATTGTATTGTATTGTATTGAACAATCATGAGCGATCCACATTCTGAAAGTGCGTGGCGATTACTGCTCAGACACCACTACGGACAATACGGACAGTGGGTGTGACAATCAGTAGTGCCATTCATATAGAGGGTGTCATATATGAGCGGAGAGGCAACAGTACAGCTGAGCGGAGAGACAACATTAAAGCAACAGTACAGCTGGCGTTGCATGGAGCTGCAGGCAACCGGGCAGCGGAGGCTTGCGAAAAATAAACAATTCGTCACTTCAACGTATAAACAATAGTATCAAAAGCAGCATAAACACATATTCTCATGGTCGAACCCATGCACTAGCGGCTCACGGCGGGCACAGGCACGCAGTGCGGTAGCGGTACCGGATCACACGTCATGGGCGTTGTCTCAGCATAGGTTGTTATGAGCGGAGAGGCAACAGCAGAGCTGAGCGGAGAGACAACATTAAAACAACAGTACAGCTAGCGTTGCATGGAGCTGCAGGCAACCGGACAGCGGAGGCTTGCGAAAAATAAACAATTCGTCACTTCAACGTATAAACAACAGTATCAAAAGCAGCATAAACACATATTCTCATGGTCGAACCCATGCACTAGCGGCTCACGGCGGGCACAGGCACGCAGTGCGGTAGCGGTACCGGATCACACGTCATGGGCGTTGTCTCAGCATAGGTTGTTATGAGCGGAGAGGCAACAGTAGAGCTGAGCGGAGAGACAACATTAAAACAACAGTACAGCTAGCGTTGCATGGAGCTGCAGGAAACCGGACAGCGGAGGCTTGCGAAAAATAAACAATTCGTCACTTCAACGTATAAACAATAGTAAAAGCAACATAAACACATATTCTCATGGTCGTCGGAACCCATGCACTAGCGGCTCACGGCGGGCACAGGCACGCAGTGCGGTAGCGGTACCGGATCACACGTCATGGGCGTTGTCTCAGCATAGGTTGTTCGCAATCTAGTTGAAGCCTAAGAAGACGGCCAGTGGGGTCTCACTGCTGCTGAGGCGACCTCGGAGACGATGCGTCGCCCCTCCTGTCGGCGACCTGCGGTGAGCAGGACTCCAGATAGCTGTCTGGCACGTTGCCGACACTGCCAGACGCTGTCAGCAGGCCTCACTGCTGCAAGTGATGTGCAGATGGACGTCAGGTGACTTCGTCTGCAGGCGATTCCGGAGACCGCGGCCTCACCAGGCAGCACCACCTGCATCGCCATGTCGGTGTTTCTAGAAATGGAAAAATAACAGTATCGGTGAAGGACAAGCAATACAATGTATTCTGTTTTCCTCTCTTGCAGGTATACGTAATCTACAATTATCATTGTTCCTATTTCATTCAACTCAACCTGAAAATTCCATATTGGCACATTGTTTGACTAAATTTGTGTAGTTGGGAACAGGGGCGACGCCACGGTGCGACAACTGGAGGGGACATTGACCATTTTGGAGGGGACAAGGACCATTTCAAGTCGATTCTTTCCATGCAACGCCATGGGCGTAATGTTAAAATTTTAAAAAGTGGAGGGGACGAGATCCCCTTTGTCCCCCCCCCCCCCTGTGGTGACGCCCTTGGTTGGGAAGCAGATTCTGATTGTTTGAAATACATGTTTGGCTGAACAGTGCGGAAAATATTTCATTGATCACTATAGCTGCAACAAAAATACTGAGACAGAAAACATTTGCGCTTACCTGGCTCCTTAGTCAGCCCCGCACAACGGAAGTGGTACCATTTATCGCAGCCGTCGCATCCGACCATCGGTGCTGCACTGATGCTGCTGCACTCCCCACATTCCCAGTACCTTAGTAGCGTCTTGGCTGTGAAAAGATTACATGAGTCATGGCGCATTCATGAATAGTAAGATGTTTTATATGTTTAACATTGCATAGCAAAGACACAACAGCTGGGAGTCAAGTGTAAGGACTTTTGACAAGGGTGTTTGAACTCAGTGGGGTGAGGTTTGGTTGGTCAAGAGTGGTCATTTTTAGCAATGCTGTTTTTGACTACAGCTTTGCTAAGTATGACTACGGTGATGATGTCATGGTAATCAAATTTGACCACCATTATACCAATTTTGCACCCTGGTGGAGAAAACACAAGTTTCAGGTTACGGGAAGTAAGATAGGAAAGTTATTCCGGCAGTTCTTAAAAGAAGACAAAGAATCTTGATTCTGGTTGTTGTAAATGGGGGTCCAAGGTTGAACAGAGCCAGCATTTGGCGCTGAAATTCAAAGTTTGAACACAATGAAAAAGATGCTTGATATCACTATAAAAGTTTATTTCAGGGGGAAATGGATGCATTCACGTAAAAGCGCACAAAAGTACTCTAGCAAAGTGGATTACTAAGGTACTGAAAAAATCTTGCCAAACAGCTGTTCGGAATATCAAATCTGACATACAGAATTTTCAATGGCCATTAAAATAATATCATATCACCATTTTCCCAGTGAGTGTTGTCATTATAACTTTGAGGCAAGAAAAGCTTTGCTAAAAATGACGCTTGGCGAAGCCTCATCCTACTGGGCTGTCTGACATGTCTCCCTGTAAAAAACATGTGGTCCTTATATTGTATATATGATGAATATGTTAATAATGCAGAGAAAACACAGTATAAATTATACCCAACGTTTCATCTTAATCGACTTTGTCAAGGGTGTTTGAACAACTTGAGATGAGTGAAGTGTAAGAGTACCTAGGTACATCTGAAAATAAACTGAATCTGCGTCCAATAAACATTGATTTTCATAATACATTTCACAAATCAACTGCTAATAACAATCATACTAAAATAGCACGACAGATACCTAACTAACAATCGCATGAAGAACTTCTTGATTCGCCTTGACTATTGTCGTCCGAACGAATGTTGTCTAACGTGGTCTAAAGTTACACATTTGTCTTTTCTGCGCAGTATTTGTGTTTGCCATTTACCGCACCAATGTTCGCCAGCGGTGGTGACTTTTCCTTACCTGCTCACGAAACGTCACACACGACATGACGTCACCCGAAGACGTCATCAAAAAGTCCAGCTCTTAGGCGTGTCCGTTGATGATTGTACCGGCCGGTTTCAGTCTTTTCGTATTTGTGTTGGTGGTAGATTTGTAATGTAAGTAAAAGCCAGTATGTGTAGGATGCACGTTACATCATAGTTTGTTGTTGGATCTTTTGTTTTGCTTCCCACACGCGGGTACTTAGATAAGCTCGCGGTTAAATCGGTATGCATGTGTGCGCCATTTATGTCTTCATATTATCAATGGGTAAATGTAGGTGAACTTTGGTGAAGGTAAAAAGCATAATCCGAAGGTTAAGCTACACTTTGTGTGACCATCCAGGAAATGTTGTGCGTGTTTTGCAGCCCCATGATTGAGGGATTTCCTTGATATTGGTTTCTTATTCTGCATTTTCCAGAAACTTTGTGAACTATCTGATGCTGATTTAGGCCTAAAAATAATGAGTGCAATACAGATAAACAAACAGGTTTGCCTTTGAATATGTTAATTTAATATCTAAAGTAGGTACACCAGTGGCGGAACCAGGATTTTCACTGGGGAGGGGCTGCAGAGTGCAGGTCATAATTGGGCGCCACGCCCCGGATGGGCGCCATAGTCGCATCGTATTGGCGCTGAAATATTGGCGCCCAGTGGCCCTGACAAGAGGCGCCCAGGATCAGTATGTACAGTGACACCACACGATTGGAAATATCGGTGCGGAGCGTACTGAAACGACGTTATTCGACTGATTTTTGCATCCTAGTCCTAGTATGCGGCACTCCGATGAGTTGCGAATTGAAAATTGGCGCCACTGCGCCTTCGGCGCAGTGGCGCCAGCTTTCCTTGGGTGGGGGCTGCCAGCCCCCACAGCCCCCCTGGATCCGCCACTGAGGTACACTACTTAGTAGGTATTCATTACACTACTTACACTACACTTCATAAACTACTTACACTATGTACACTACTTCGTAGGTATTCATTCTGTCAATAAAATGCCAATATACTGTATTATGATTGCACAAGCATAGATAATAAATTTGATCATATATATTGAGATTGAGTTCCAACAAGCGTGCCTACAACTGTCTCACGTCACACAAGCACACAGATTCTACTAAAAGTTTGGAGCTATGAGCTTTATATCAGTATGGATAATCCAGAAATTCCTGACTATCAGACATTTTCTGTACTGAACACTGAATCCTTGAATCCCTTGACTGAATCTGCATGACGCCAGTGAAGCTGACTGTGTGTTTTTCCTATCAGCTGAAATTGAAATGCATTTCATGGGCGTAGGATCCTAGATAGTGTAGCCAGACCTTAACCTGACCTAACCTTACTTGCTGACCTACAATCTACATTCTACAAACCTACAACCTACGGTAAATGTCAAGTTTAAGTCCTAAGAAGATTTCATTGATAAATTTTTCATATTTTTACATTATTTGACATCCTGAATCCAAAAATGATACTCATATGTCTAGCAAATAAAAGAAAAAAAAAACAATCAAACCTGACCTAACCTTACCTACATACCTATAACCTACCAACCTACAACCTACAAACCTACCCTAACCTAACCTAACCTACAAACCTACCTACCTACAACCTAAAACCTACAAACCTACAACCTAACCTAACCTAAAACCTAAAATTTTTGCTGTTTCATATTCGTATCAACAGCGCCACAATTGTAGTTAGGACCTAAACTTGACATATACCCAACCTACCAACCTGAAACCTGCAAGCTACCCTAGCATGCCTATAACATGTTCAGTTTTCTTGACGTCATTGTGTGTCTATGGGTTTGTTCCCGTCGCTCCTCTAACCTCCTCCAAGCTCCTCTAACCTCCTCTCGTTTCAAAAAATCGTTCCCGTCGCTCCTCCAAGCTCCTCCAAGCTCATCTTGATTTCACATCTCACCACCACTATTTGCCTCCTCCCTCATCCCAAACGAAAGTTGGTTTTTTGGAGGAGGTTCTTGCGTAGACATATCTGGCGCACGTGATACAAATGTGAATTGTTTATAAATGAGATTTGAGGGAAGTGGAAATGATTTTAGTGATTGATGACGATTGGATATCTTTAAATAGTAATGTTCGATATTAATCTAAGGTTATTTTATTAGAAAGCGATTATTATCTCTTGAGTTATGATATTTATTCACTTTCGATGATAACACAAAAACAAATATTCTAAATAGCCAGACGTTTCGGCCTCAGGGTGCCTTCGTCAGTGACAATACCGAGATACTAATACATTAATAAATTAATCAATATAATCTTTTACACTTTCAAAATACACATGACCTGGACATTTTTCAACCATTCTGTCAACCATTCTGTCCAAAATGTCCAGGTCATGTGTATTTTGAAAGTGTAAAAGATTATATTGATTAATTTATTAATGTATTAGTATCTCGGTATTGTCACTGACGAAGGCACCCTGAGGCCGAAACGTCTGGCTATTTAGAATATTTGTTTTTGTGTTATCATCGAAAGTGAATAAATATCACAATGTCTGACACGATACACTCTTGAGTTATGTTTGCGCGCCATAAATCGCCGACCGTTACAGCCCGCAAACAGCTGATTTCTTCGCGAAAATGTTCCCGTGGCTCCTCTGAAACGGCTCTCCTCCAAGCTCATCCAACCTCATCCGAGATTTTTTGGGAGGAACGACGGGAACAGACCCTTTGGGTCTGTTCCCGTCGCTCCTAGATCCTGCTCCCGTCGCTCCTAGAACGACGGGAACAGACCCTTTGGGTCTGTTCCCGTCGCTCCTCCCAAAAAAATCTCGGATGAGGTTGGATGAGCTTGGAGGAGAGCCGTTTCAGAGGAGCCACGGGAACATTTTAGCGAGGAAATCAGCTGTTTGCGGGCTGTAACGGTCGGCGATTTATGGCGCGCAAACATAAATCAAGAGATAATAATCGCTTTCTAATAAAATAACCTTAGATTGATATCAAACATTACTATTTAAAGATATCCAATCGTCATCAATCACTAAAACCATTTCCACTTCCCTCAAATCTCATTTATAAACAATTCACATTTGTATTACGTGCGCCAAATATGTCTACGCAAGAGCCTCCTCCAAAAAACCAACTTTCGTTTGGGATGAGGGAGGAGGCAAATAGTGGTGGTGAGATGTGAAATCAAGATGAGCTTGGAGGAGCTTGGAGGAGCGACGGGAACGATTTTTTGAAACGAGAGGAGGTTAGAGGAGCTTGGAGGAGGTTAGAGGAGCGACGGGAACAAACCCCATGTTTCAATTGACTTGACGTCAATTTAAATGTAGAATGCTATTTCGTATATGCTTTTTTCCTCCTGAAAGTGTTCACACCATGACATCAGCAATCTCTCATGGCGCTACCTGGTATTTATCATCTTGATCTTGTGTAATTGTTGAGCATAACGTGTGATCAAGCTGAATATTAGGTTCATTTTGGTGTTTTTTTTTTTTAATTTAACCCGCGCCCTGCTGGGGGCGGGGGTGTTTGAACACCCCCCCTTGTGGTTTTTCGCGAACGTTTTTGGTACACCTTATCATACATCAATTCTACACATGTTGTAAAAATTTCAGACCAAGGTCATTCAAGGTCAGGTCACCAGGTCACTTGAAGTGACCTCGCCTCATAAAAAGTTTCAATGTCTGTCGTAGCTACACCGAGTGACCGATCGCTTTGAAACTTTCAGCGATTGCTAAGAGCAATAGCATGTACAAAATGTATATCTCAGAATTTTGATATCGATGACCTAAGGTCAGGTCAATTTTGCGACCTCCCCATTATAAGTCAATGGGAGAAAATTGAAATGCGCCTCTTTTGGACGAAAGACATTATAAACACTCCCAAACACTGAATTACAAGTGGTTTAGACACACTGAACATGAAAATGGTGTCCATGACCCCTGTTTATGCCCTGAGGTCATCTTAGGTCACGAATGGAATCTAACAGTTTTTCGCAAATAACTTTTGATAGAGGCATGCTAGAGCGATGAAAACGCCTTAGATGTGTTCGGCTCGACGATACGGATCGACTGATATGCAACATGACCCTTTCCGGTCAGGTCATGACCTTGACCTGAGGTCAAATTTTCAAGTTGACCTTTCAAGGTCAAGTTATAGTTCATTCGATGCGTCTTGACGAGAGGAACACGATGCCGGTAAAAGTCAGCTCGTACAAGGCTTGGGTCAAAAGTTATTGCAGAAAAACTGTTTCCGAAAAATCGGCTATTTTTGCAGTTTTTGCCCCCTGCAGGCAAAACCGTTGACGTTAGGTCAAATCTGAGAGAATTACTCAGAAAGGGCGTTAATAGGGCTATCGAATGCGCTTTTCCACGGCGCTGTAGCTCTATTGGTTCCCGAGTTATGCGTTAGCTTCTTGGAAATTTTCGACATTCGACCCGGAAATCGGCGAAATTTTGCCTTCAATGACCTCTGGTGACCTGACCTTTGACCTGACCAAAAAATTGACCGAAGTAATTTCCTCATTATTTTTGACGCTCTTTCGAACGCCGCCTTCCGCGTATCGCTACGTGGCCCAGGAGCCGAGTTAGAAGGGGGGGTGTTCAAACACCCCCCCCCCCCCCCAGCAGGGCGTGGAAATCCAGGACCCCCAGCCGGGCGCGGGTTAATGAATATTGTTTGTCAAAGAATAGATACCTTAATTACATTAAAGGGACCCTCCCACCTTAACATAATATTTGAGTTGAGATAGCCAAAATGGGGTCCCTGGCTCACAATTACCGGTTTCGGCACTCACAACATCGATAAATGCCTTAAATCGGAAATATTGAATTTCAAAATTGCAGCATTTTGATTCAGAGGGGCTAATGCTTAGGAATACCCCTCTGAATGTGTGACGTCAGCGCAGATATCTAACGATTTTTAAATGTTTGACTAAAACGTTTTGTAGCACGCGGTGGTATATGCTATTTGCGCGCAACATCTGCCGCAAACGCCGCACTTCTAAAATAAAGTCGCTAGAAACAGCGGAGATCCCAAAAAAGTAAACAAAAGTAAAAAGTCTAATATCTTGAAAACCGGTGAATATTTTTCGGTGAAATTTGGTAGATATTTGTTTTCGTTCTTTCTGAACCGAGCGACATCACTTTCATGCCAATTCATAAACTTTTTTGAAGGTGGGAGGGTCCCTTTAAGTTAGAAAAACTGTCATTATCCTAAGATGGCGTAAAAAGTCTTTGCTTCTTTTCCATTTCAGATCACTTATCACCGAAACAAAAAACTGCTGCATACCACTTACAAGTGTAATCAAGTCTGGTTGATAATCAGGTGTGAGGTGTACCTAGGTTACCGAGCAGAGGTCTGCACAATGGCCTGCGGAGGTGGACCAATGACCGAGAAGACTTGGCATGAGCATATGCTTCAGCAACAGAATGGTTTGTAATATTTTCCACATTCACGTAGGGTTCAAACATTCTAGTCAGATGGTGAAAATGCAGGCTGGACTAGATTCTCTTTCATCAATGCTTGATGATGACATTGTTTGAGCTCTTGTAAATATTATAAATGCAGCTTCAAAAATATTTGGTCATTTCGCCATAAACTATTTTGATATATATGGAATGTCTGTGTTTATTACATTGTCATTGATATTGGCTGATATTAGTTATGAAATTCTCTTCAGAGGTCGGGTTGGCACTTGGCTCATTTTTAGTTTTGACTGCCCCTGATCTGGGGAAAATTTGCCTGCAATATCTCTACATTCCAGTGTTTATAGTTTTTCTTATATCAACTTACAGGCGACATTATAACATTTTTGTTGGTGAAGTTTCAGCAATACACGCAAACCTCACATTGGTCGACCCCCCCCCCCCCCCCCCCCCCACTTACACGTACTGAGTCCCTTTCTGCCATTGTCTCTACGCTTACAGTTGCGGCCCACTCGTCTCCGTTCGCTGCGCCGGGTCACGTGTCGGCCGCCGGTCACTACGGCTACCAGCCGCCGGCTCAGATGGACCGGCACCCAGCCGACAAGGAGAACGCCGCCATGGACTTCGAGCACGGCATGTGGCCATCGGCGGCCGGCGGCCACGGCCCGCACATCACGCCCGCAGCCGGGTACCTTGGCGTGCGCAAGCGCGGCAGGGATGAGGTACTGTTCCAGGATTTCAAACGAAGACGGCTTACAGGTATGTGCATGGCGTCGCTCCTGTGTGATGGATGTGTTAATGGATGGGGGGGGGGGGGATAACCTGGTGATGGGAGGGTGGGCATGCTTCTGGGGAAGCAGGGCTGTGTTATGTGGATGAAGCGGATGACGTTTTTGGTCCTATTGCCAGATATTCAGTGTTTTTCTTTTGTTTTCTGATATGTTCTATAAGCGGAATATGTCAATAGGTGGAAAAGGCATCATTTGCTTTTGCTAGATCTACAGCAAATAGACTAAAACGTCATCCTCTTCCTCAACACTATTCGGATATGTTTCTACACTTTCATTGTTTCAGCCACTTGTTTTGACAACTGTGATTGAAGATGTTTTTCGTTTTCTATCATACAAATCAATAATCTTAATCAGTGGTGATTGTCTTTTCCCTACTGTAGGTCATAACAAATAGTTACATAGGCTTATCAAACCTACACCTTTGACGCTAGAATGGTCCATTTCATCTAAGGCAAGTGAAGTAAAGCATATTTGAGTGGTTACCTATTCATTGTCAGTTTCCGAGGACTTCGCACGTCGTTTATGCCAGACGAATTAAGATATTCCGGCTTCCTTAGGTCATAAGTGTTCGGACGCGCATCCACCGGCAAACACCTCGGTTCAGCTAATCAATATATTTACAATGATCGTACGGTACACGCCAGCGCAATCCGCAGTCACCCCCGATTATCCCATTGGACCTCTTGTCAGCTTTCCCTCCTCGCTGCCGCCCCGGAGCTCCGACCGCCGAGCGCACCGCTCAGCGTCTGACTGCTGCCGGCGATGCACCGCCTTATATAGGGGGGCTGGGCGCCCACCGACCAATCAGCGGCCGCCGCAGCCGCCGCGTCATCACCGGCAGAGCTGCAGGATTCGCGGCCGGCGCCCGCCGCCGACTGCCGGCCGGGCGGCCGTGTGTCGCTCCCCAACACACACCCCCCCTACACATAGGAGAGGTGCACGGCCGCTCACTCAGCCGCCCCGACGAATCTTGGCTTGCAGCGCGCAACTTCGCGCGCCGGACCATCGAGTCCCCGATGATCAGGTGGCTTTTCGGAGCGCTAAGGTGCGGCGGAGGTGTGGGCGCACCGCCCCCCACCGTGCCGGGCGCAGCCGGGAAGGGGTCGGACGCCGTGTCGACCGTCTGGTGCGCTCCCCACAGGTGCTCGAACGATGCGTCCTGGAAACCCTCCAGGATCTCGGACAGGAGGCTAGGAGTAGGATCCATACTGTGGACAAAAGGAATTGATAATCTCCCGACGGCATGCACATCACCCCAGGCAACTTCAAGGGAATCTTAACTAGGTCCCGTCCTGAGCCTGGCACTACCTTAACAAAACTAGAGCAACACTAGAACACCCGAGCGACATACACATATACATTCCCTCACAACGATCGAATTTGTACACGCTTTAGTGGCTGCAGTCCCCGCAGCTCACGAGCCCCCCGCCTGGTATTGGGCGAGAGGGCGGCTGAGCCGCCCGTACCGCGTTCGGTACGGCGCAGGCGGGCCAAGGGCGGTCGGGATCGGCTCGTGTCCCTCGCCGTGATCTGGGCGATGCCGAGCGCACCATACCGCGATCAGCGGCCTGCTGTCTCGCGGTGACCAGCCCGTCCGACCCAGGAAGAGCTCAGGGGGCTGCCCGGGACGCCCGCACCGCTGAGGACCCCCACCCCCGTTGTCGCCTTCGAACGGCTTCAGGTGGTCGTGGTGCCACACTTTGACCTTACCGGCGCTGTCCCGCACTCGGTAGGTGTCCCCTCTTCTTTCCTTACTCCCGTGGCCCTCTACCACCCACGGGCCCTTGTACCGTAGGCCGAGTTTCGGCTTCCCGCCGGCTGCCGCCCGGAAGTCGCGCACCCACACCTTGTCACCGGTGTGATACGCCTTTTGGCGTGCCCTACGGTCATACATCTCCGTGGCGTAATCCGTGGCTCTCACTGCGTTCTTCTTCGCCAGCTCCCGAGCTGCTCTCATGGCGGCCAGCCGGTCCTCCGCGTAACTTCGTACCGGTACCAGTCGTTGTGGAGGTCCGAACTCCGCGTCCAGGGGTGTGCGCGGCTCGAAGCCGTGGACCAGTGAGAAGGGCGTGTGTCCGGTGGTGTGGTGTACCGACGAGTTGTAGGCGAACGTGTACGCCTTGATGTCGACGTCCCAGTCTGACCCGTCCTTTTTGATGTATTTACTGACCATGTCCTTCAAGGTTCCGTTGAATTTTTCGACCATTCCGTCGCTTTGGGGTCTGTACGGGGTTGTTCGAGTCTTGTGGATCCCCAGTCTGTCGCACATGAGCTTGAACAGGCCTGCCTCGAACTGCGGACCCTGGTCCGAGTGCAGCTTCTCCGGCACGCCGAAGTCGTACACCCAGTCCAGTACGCCATCGAGGATCGTCTCGGTCTTCTGGTCGGGCATGGGATATACACGCACGTACTTAGAGAAATAGTCCATCACGACTAGTGCGTACCTGTTCCCCTTCGCCGACGTTGCCATCTCCGTGATGTCGACGGCTATGCGCTCGAAAGGATGTGTGGCCAGCTCAGTCTGCATCGGGGCTCTTGGCGACGGTGTGGGTTTGTTTCGCCTCTGGCAGAGGATGCACGTCTTGCAGTATTCCCTGATGTCCTTGTACATCCCGGGCCACACGAAGTTTCTTTTCACCCTGAGCGTGGTGCGTCGGTGGCCCATGTGTCCGCTCGTTGGTGGTTCGTGCGCCAGCTGCATCACCCGGGTGCGCAGAGAGGGGGGCACTGCCACCCTGAACCCGCTCGTCGTGTCGACGCCGACGAGACCGTCCACCATCCGAACATGGTGACCTCCTGATCCCAGGATCTGACCCCACTTCTCCAGCATAGGGATGTCGAAGGGTGTCTGCTGGCCGATACACCGTCGGGCATAGTTGAGTGGTGAGCTCTCCTCTTGCGCCCTCTGCATGGCGCTCCGCTGCTCCAGCGGGCTGGCATCACCAGCGTCGCCGTCAACACCCGTGTGGGCGAAGGCGCGTGCGTCCTCGCCCGTCACCAATATAATTTTACTGGCAGAATCAACCTCCACGTCGGCCTGGGCGGTCTGCGTGCCGGGCTCGCCTGCGCTACCGCTGCTGGGCCTCCCGCCCTCGCAGTGGCTCGCGCTTTCCGTTCCCTGCACCCTCGAGGTCATCACGTCCGTAACGCAGCCGCTGCTGGGCGACCCGCCCCCGCAACGACCCGTCCCGGGTCCTTGGAGCTCGACTGTGACCCTGTGCGAGGGCGTTGGGGTGCTTTGTAGCCGTCGGTTTGGTCCCGCTGACCGAAAGACGGCCCGCACGGTGCCAGTCAGGAGGGCCGCCGCCCGCGCGCAGACTTGTGCGCAGCGCCTCACCAAGCCAGTGCTCGCAGCCTTTGGCCGCTCGCGATGCCCAAGCTCATCGACCGGGGGTCGGCATGCGGGCGGAGCCTCGCTGCCCGCCGGCTCTGACCGTGTCATGCATACGACCGACGGTGTGGGTCCCGGGGGCTGGCGTGACATGGCGTCGGCGTTCCCGTGGGCGCAACCCGCGCGCACCTGAACTTCGAACTCGAACGAGCTCAACTCCACCGCCCACCGCCCACGTCGTCCTGTCCCATCACGCTCCACTGCTATGGACTTTGGGATATTGGCCAGGGGTCGATGGTCAGTGACCACAAGGAACGGCGCGCCGACCGTGTATTGCCGGAACCTCCGAATGGCGTGTACAACTGCCCACAGCTCCTTATCGTACGTCGGCCATCGTGTCTCGGCTTTCGAGAGCACTTTGCTGTCGTACGCGATGACCCGCTCATCGCCGTCGACCCGCTCGGTGAGCACCGCCCCCACGGAGGTGTTGCACGCGTCTGTGTAGAGTACGAACGTGCCCCGGAACGTGGGCAGCGCCAAGAGCGGTGGAGAGCTAAGAGCCTGCTTCAGTCGGCCGAAGGAGGTCCGCATCTCGTCAGTCCACTTCAGCTTGCCGGGGGCTTGAGAAGCCACCCGCAGCGGCCGGCTGACTTCTGTGTAGTGTTCGATGAACCGAGCGTAGTACCCACATAGCCCGAGAAAGCTGCACATCTCATCGCTTGTTGCGGGTTCTTTCCACGACAGCACCTTCTCGACGTTGCGTGGGTCTGGTTTCACCCCATCCTTGGAGACGCGGTGTCCGAGGAAAGTGACTTCTTTCCTGGCCAGGACACACTTCTTGGGTTTCAGTTTGAGTCCCGCTTCTCTGATCCGCTGGAACACGTCTCGAAGAGTGCTGAGATGGTCATCCTCGGACCGGTTGAACAGCACGATGTCATCCAGGTAGACCAGACAGGTGGTGGCGTCCATCCCAGCGAGGACCAGCTCCATCAGCCGCTGGAACGTTCCGCTGGCGTTCTTCAGTCCCATTGCCATCACTCGGAACTGGTGCAGGCCACTGCCGGTGCTGAATGCAGTTTTTTCACGGTCTTCGGGTGTGATGCCGACCTGCCAGTATCCGCTAGCGAGGTCCAAGGTGGAGAACTTTGAGGCGCCGGCCAAGCTGTCAAGTGTGCTGTCGATGCGTGGTAGGGGGTGAGCGAATCCCTTTGTGACCCCGTTTACGGCTCGCAGGTCCACGCAGAACCGGAACGTGCCGTCCTTCTTTCGGGCCAACACCACTGGAGACGACCACGGGCTCATACTTGGTTCGATGATCCCGTCACGAAGCATCTGTTCCTTCTGGCGCTCGATCTGGGCACGGACCGACACCGGGATTCGGCGAGGCGGCTGCCTGATCGGCCGAGCATCGCCTGTGTCGATCTGGTGTTCGACGAGGTGCGTGTGTCCGATGTCGCCGTCGTGACGGCTGAAGATGTCTTTGTACTCGGTGAGCAGCTTCTGTAGTCGCGTCTTGCCGGACGGGGAGAGGTCACACTCGCTGAGGTCTACATCGGGGTGCTCTCCCGCACTCCCACACTCGTCCGTGTCCGGCTCCCCATCCTCCGCGACCGCGTTGACCCGGGCCTCTTGTCCCT